CGCCCCGGGGGCTCTCGTCACCCTGCGGGCTGACCATGGCGCTGGCCGTCAGCTGCGGCATTTTGCGCACCGAGTCTGGGGCGGCAGCCGGCTCCTTCTTGTCCCCGGGCGGCCGCGGGGCCGCGGGCGCGGGTTGGCCGGTGCCGAAGCGGGTGGCCAAGCTGTCGCCGAAGAAGGCGTAGAGCTCCCGGTAGGTGTCCGCCAGGGTCACGGAGGGAGTCGGGTCTTCCGGGCCCGCGCCTCCCGGCGGCAGCGGAAGGCCCGGCCCAAAGCCTGGTTCTGCGCCGCCCCCCGACGGCGACTCCTGCAGGAGAAGGCTGGCCCACGGCAGCTCGTCCGGTCGCCGGCAGCCCCGGACCCCAGGCCCGCCGCGGCTGGGCTCAGCTGCCTGGGCCTTCATCTTAAGCAGTCGCTCTACGGCCACCTGGAAGAGCAAGGGACTCGTTTGGACAAAAACCGGGAGGAACCTGGCCCAGCAAGCGCCCTACATAAGCCTAAATTCACGCAGGCCAGAGAAGCTGGAAGCACTCACCAGAATGGCCCCATACACTTTGTGGCCATCTGCCTTGACCTGGGCATTAGACACCGAATAATCATCCAGCACTGCCTGCAAGTTTGTCCAGTAAGTGGACAGATGTGGGTACAGTACTCGTTCTACTGCCTGGAAGGAGAGAGAGAAGGTTCAGTAAGCAAATGTATTGCTTATTGCCAGGTCAAGTACCCTTTCCCGTGAAAGGCTTTCACTTCTGATCATAGAGCTCAATCGTAAATTCCTTCATTAGGATATTCAACCACTGTATCTTTGGGAACCACCAAATGCCTAAGCTTGTGCTAAGCACTGGGGATAAGTACAAAGATCAGACCTACTAAATCCCTGCCATATTTCCCACGGGGTATAGGGCATAAGTAATAGTCATGGCTAACAACATAGACAGTATGCAAACTGCTACTGAATACAATTAGTAAGGAACTACTGTTTTTACTTAGATGTGACCTGGAACTCATTTCAAACTAAATACACAATCAGAGCCTAGCACTCTTGACTAATTAAAATCCTGTAATTCATGCTAAAAAAAAAAAAACTTAAAGATTTCACAGGAGATGACATTTTGTGATAGGTTTTGTTTTATTTTTTTAGTTGGTCATGGGGCTTAAATTCTGCGCTCTTCAGCTCAAGGCAAGCACTCTACCACTTCAGCCACAGTGCAGCTTCCAGTTTTCTGGTGGTTAATTGGAGGTAAGAGTCTCACCAACCCTTCCTGCCTGGACTGGCTTTGAACCACAATCCTCAGATCTCAGCCTCCTGAGCAGCTAGGATTACAGGCGTGAGCCACCGGTGCCTAGCTGGGATAGGTTCTGACAAATAATAGACTAGAATGAGTAATAGAATATGTTGACAAAATTGTTCAACTCCTAGAAAAGTATGTGATTGGCTCTCAAAGAGATATAAGTGGGCTGGGAAGGTGGCTCAGTGGTAGAGTGCTTGCCTTGCATGCACAAGGCCTGGGTTTGATTCCTCAGCAACACATAAGCAGAAAAAGCCAGAAGTGGTTCTGTATCTTAAGTGGTAGAGCTAGCCTTGAGCTGAAGAGCTGAGGGACAATGGTCAGGCCCCACAGCCGACCAAAAAAAAAGGAAATATAAAAGCATTCTTGAATTGTTATATTACGGGGCTGGGAATGTGGCTTAGAATGCTTGCCTGGCATGCACGAAGCCCTGGGTTCGATTCCTCAGCACAACATAAGCAGAAAAAGCCAGAAGTGGTGCTGTGGCTCAAGTGATAGAGCGCTAGCCTTGAGCTGAAGAGCTGAGGGACAGTGCCCAGGACCAGCTTTCAGGCCCCACACCAGAAATAAATAAATAAATAAAAATTCCTCATTCAGTGAGGCCAGTATAATCCTAATAGCTTAGACAAGAACAATACATGAATAGGAAACATGATTTCATTTATGGATCTAGACAAATGATTTAAAGTTTAGTATACTTAAGACTAAACAAAAATACTGCTTATTGGAATTAACAAAGGCAGTTTATTATTAGAAAATCTAATAGAAAGCCAGGGATAGTAGTGCATGGGTACCTGGGAATAATTCAGGACAAAAAGATCTGGAGGATGCCAGGCATTGGTGCACCTGTAATACTAGTGACTCAGGAGGCAGAGATCTGAGAATCTCGGTTTCAAAGCCAGCCCGGGCAAGGAAACCCCCATGAGACTCTTTTTGTTTGTTTTTGTCGGTCCTGGGGTTTGAACTCTGGGCTTGGGCGCTATCCCTAGCTCTTCAGCTCAAGACGAACACTCTACCACTTGAGCCACAGCGCCACTTCCTGTTTTCTAGTGGTTTATTGGAGATAAAGAGTCTCACGAACTTTCCTGCCTGGGCTGGCTTTGAACTGTGATCCTCAGATCTCAGCCTCCTGAATAGCTAGGATTACAGGTGTAAGCCACCCGTGCCTGGCCCCATGAGACTTATCTCCAATAAACACCAGAAAATCGGAAGTGGCACTGTGGCTTCAGTGGAAGAGCACTCCCCTTGAGCTGAATTGCTAAGGGACAGTGCCCCGGCCCAGAGTTCAAGACCCATGACTGACAAAAAAAAATCTGGAGGATGGAGATCAGAGGCCATCCCAAGCCAAAAATACGAAGATTGAGAGCAAGACCCTGAGTTCAAACCACAAAACCAGCATTAAATAATGCATGTAAGAGGAGGGATAAAGTTATTTCCTAACATGAAATGAGCAAGAATTTATTTATTTATTATTTATTTTTGGATCCGGTCGTGGGGCCTGAACTCTGGGCCTGGGCGCAGTTCCTCAGCTCTTCAGCTCAAGGCTAGTGCTCTACCACTTGAGCCACAGCGCCACTTCCGGCTTTTTTTTCTTTTTGCTTATGTGTTGCTGAGGAATCGAACCCAGGGTCTCATGTATGCAAGGCAAGCGCTTTACCACTAAGCCACCTTCCCAGCCCAAGAATTTATAAAATGGGTTTAGATCAACATCTGCCAAGCAGGACTTTTGAATTAACACTTTACAAACAGAAGACATTACTAAGCCTAGCCTAAAACAGCAACTCAATACATGGCACTGCAGCACAGGCGTATGCCACTTGTACAGTAAAAGACATTGTATTTCCAACACATGTCAACTCATGATTCTCAAGAAAAGTCAGACTGGAGCTCAGCACCAGTGGCTTACACTGTAATCCTAGCTACTCAGGACATACATCTAAGGCTCAAGGTTTGAAGTCTGCCATGGCAGATAAATTCAAGAAACTTCCTTGAACTCTGGGCCTGGGCACTATCCCTCAGCTCTTCGGCTCAAGGCTAGCACTCTACCATTTGAGCCACAGCACCACTTTTGGTTTTCTGAGTCTCATGGCTTTTCCTGCCCAAACTGGCTTTGAACCATGATCCTCAGATCTCAGCCTCCTAAGTAGCTATGATTATAGGTGTGAGCCACCAATGCCCAGCCCTCAAGAGACTTTTATCTCCAATTAACTAGCAAAAAGCCAGAAGTGCAGTTGTGGCTCTAAGGATCCAGCCTTGAGCACAAAAGGTAAGCAAGAGCATGACGAGTTCAAGCCTCAGTACCAACACAGAAATAAAGTTAAGGTGCTTACCTTCCAGCCAAGAGCATGCAACCCGACCACAGCACCATAGTGAGAGCAGAGAGGCCGCACAGGGTCTGCCAGGACCTTCTGCAGGGAAAGCAGGATCTGCTGATAGAGGCCACTCACCAAGTCCCCATGAGTCCTGTGGAAGTAAGAGTCAGGGGAAAAGATGAGGCATAATGCTGCCCACACACAGAGACTAGCACTTGTATGGCACTATGGGCTAGGTGGACAAAGCTACCAGGTTGGTTGACCCAGGAGACAGAACTGAAGGATCCAGGCCTTAGTACTTTGGACTTGTTTTTGTTGTGAGACAAGATCCTTATGGAGCTCACCTTGCTGTGTTTATTGCCCAGATTGAATGTGAACTTGTGACACTCCTGCCTCACAAGCCCAAGTATTGGAATTACTGGTGTGTTCCAACATGCACAGCAATCTTGGTATGTTTGAAATCCAAGCCAGGCGCCAGTGGCTCATACCTGTACTCCTAGCTACTCAGGAGGCTGAGAGCTAAGGATTGTGGTTCAAAGCCAGCCCAGGCAGAAAAGTCCCTGTGAGACTTATCTCCAATTAACCACTCAAAAACCAGAAGTGGTGGTGTGGCTCAAAGTGGTAGAATGCTAGCCTTGAGCAAAAGAGCTCAGAGACAGTGCCCAGGCCCTGAGTTCAAACCCCACAACTGACCCCCCCCACAAAAAAAAAAAGGAAAGCGTTTCCCTGTTCTCAATACCCACATCCCACCCCAATCCACCCAAGACTCTTAAGTAGCTACCAGAAGATATGGCTGAGTAGGAGGGCAGCTCCATCCCTCAGAGTCCAGTGGTCATTCAGGGGATTGATGGAGGCAGCTAATGGCTCGAGGACACAGTAGAGGACACTGCCCACTAGGGAGCGGACGTAGGGCCCCAGGCAGAGGTGTGGGTTCCGAACCAGGCTACGTGCCACCTGCAGCAGCCTGTGCAGCTGCTCTAGGTCATGGCTTACAGACTTCACCTGTGGGTAGAACGAGATGGCTTAGGGAAACATGGGGAACAGGAGGGAGCTGCCATTCTGCTAGCACCTGCCATGAGCGTGACCCACTATTGCTGGGTCATCTCCCCACGAAACTCCCCATCTCAGAATGATCACTCACCCCACTGACCACATAAACAAAGTAAGGCAGGAGCGCGGCGATCTTGGAGTTTGTCTGAAGGTCCTGCAGAGCCACCTGAAAAGAAAGGTCAGAAGGCCTTGGAACCACCTCCCCAAGAGGAAACTGACACTGTTCTGGAGGACAGTTTAGCACTACAAGCATGAAATATCTTGAGTGTTCACAATGTCTCCACAGTTCTATCAGTTTAACCTATATAAACCCATATACACACAGCATGCTGGTTAGTAAAGTAAATGTAGCTCAGGACCAGTGGCTCATGCTTGTAATCCTACCTAGCTACTAAAGAGAATGAGACTTGCAGGATCTCAGTTCGAAGCCAGCTGGAGCAGAAAAGTCTAGGAATTAACAAGCAAAATACCGGACAGGAGACTTGGCTCAATGGAAGTGCATAATATGAGCAAGAAAACTAAGCAAGAGGGCTGGGAAGGTGGCTCAGTGGTAAAGCGCTTGCCTTGCATGCATGAGGGCCTGGGTTCGATTCCTCAGCACCACATAAGCGAAAAGAAAAAAAAAGGCAGAAGTGGTGCTGTGGCTCAAGTGGTAGAGTGCTAGCCTTGAGCTGAAGAGCTGAGGGACAGTGCCCAGGCCCAGAGTTCAGGCCCCACGACGGGACCAAAAAAAAAAAAAAGAGTCTCATAGACTTTTCTGCTCAAGCTGGCTTTGAAATATGATCCTCAGGCTGGGAAGGTGGCTCAGTGGTAGAGTGCTTGTCTCCCATGCATGAGGCCCTGGGTTTGATTCCTCAGCACTATATAAACAGAAAAAGCCAGAAGTGGCCGCTGAAGAGATGAGGGACAGACCCCAGGCCCAGAGTTAGCTACTCAGGAGGCTGAGATCTGAAGATCATGGTTCAAAGCCAGCCCAGGCAGAAAAGTCTGTAAGACTCCAATAAACCACTAGAAAACTGAAAGTGGCGCTGTGGCTCAAGCAATAGAGCACTCGCCTTGAGCGGAAGAGTGCAAGGACAGCGCCCAAGTCCAGAGTTCAAGCCCCACAACTGACACAAAAAAGCCTGAGGCATTGAACTGCTTTCTATGATCTCACTGTATCCTGATTACCAAGAAGATATTTATTTTTCTCTACTTTATAGCCAAGGATATCAAAGCTCACAGGTGTATATATACAAATGTACGTGTACGTATATATGTATATGTATGTGAATACACACATTTCTCTATATAATATGTACATATATACATATGTATACACACACACACACACACACACATATCAGAGGCTGGTGTGCAGAACAAGGCCTGGATTCCCAGCCCAAAGATCGGGAGTTGCAAACTCACCCCCAGGTGACCCTAGGCTCTCTAGTGGCTCATCAGGAGCTTCAGTTTCCCATCTGTAAAGTGGGAGCACTAAGTCTGGCCGTCGCGCGCGGGCGCGGAGCGGGAGTCCCGGGGATGCGCCCCGCCGAGGACCTCAGAAAGTCTGCGCTGTGTCAGGTCCCGCGTTCCTCTGCCTTCCCCCCGAGCACCCTCAGCCTCGAGTCGCTCTGGGAAGGAGGCGTGGGAACCCACCTCCGCGGGCCGCGGGGACAGGCACCGCCTCCCTGACCCGGCGTGGCCCAGCCCCGATCCTGAGGGCGTGGGGTAGGGTACGAGAGGTCAGGGGTCACAGAACTTGGGTCACGTGGTCGGCGAAGGGGGCGGGCCCCGGCGGAGCAGGCTTCGAGGCCGGTAAGTGAGCAGTCTACTGCGGGACTGGGAGTCCTTGGAGCCGGGTACGGTCTGCTCACCTGAGGGCTCCGGCGCGGCGAGGGAAGCTACTCAGGCGAAGGCGGCGGAGGCGGCGGCGGTGGCGGCGGATTCACTCACCCCGCTCACACTAATTCCCTCTCTCAGGGTCTAGGCCCCGCCCTCCTGGAGCACAGCCAATAGGCGGTCGCCTTACAAACTTCCCGCCCAACAGGAGGCTTCACGCCACGTGATTGGTCGTTGTGAACGTGCTGTGAAAGACCCCAAGGCGCAGGTGATCACGTGAGGGGATGATTGGCACTTCTTAAAGCGACAGCTTTTGCTAGTTTTGCGAGCAGGTGTTGCGTGATTTGGCATACATTTAGGAAGCATATTCTTCAGGGAAATTGGCTTCGTTCGTTTGATCTTGCCTGCTCCTCAGTTTCCGAACACTCACCATTTCCGCGATTGCAGGAAAGCTCTAAGACTTTGCTCTCTGACTTCCCTGCTAACCTTTCCATCATCACCTGCCACTTCTAGAGAGGACAGGTCCAGTTCCCTAGCTGTTCTGGGCTGAGACAGGAACTTCTGACTGAGCCGACATCTGTCAATAACAACATCTGGCCGACTGAGGGTGTCTCTCGCCTGACGATCGCGGTTCAAAGACTCTTATATGCAATTAATCACCAGAAAACAGGAAGTGGAGTGCAGCTCAAATGGTAGAGCTCCAGCCTTGAAAGAGCTCAGAGTCAGCGCCTAGGCCCGGTGTT